ATCTGGCAAAACAGATTCAGTCACACCCAGTGAGATGGATAGATGGCAGTAGCCAGGTCCAACAGTAACCAAATTTTATAGGCTTGCAGGCAGGTTAGCAGAATCATTAGGTTGCACTTAAGAGGAATAAGGACTTAGGCAAGTGGTAAAGCCACTGGTTAAGGACAAATCTGGACCACACAACAAGGAGACTACAGAAATATATGTGAATGTGAGTTGAAATAAGGACAATTCTAGGCAGTTGAGGTAAAAAACAATTCTAATACTAACTCAAGCTGGGAGAATGGAATCATAAACATAATGGTGGAGGGGTCATGGCTATTAAAAATAATGGTAAAACTCAGTCTTGTGAACATTATACTCATCTGTAAGCCCAGGAAAATAGAGATAGAAAACCTAAGGCAGAGCCTACAATGGATCCATGCTTGTGGTAACTGTTTTTAAAACTACAATATGCAACTATTTTAATATATGAAAACCATCACTTGTTTTATTTTATCTAAAATATATTAATTCAAAGTAGAATTGTATTAAAATCTTATATGTACCATGTCTTCTGATATTCCTTGAAACAATTCAAGTTGTTGGAGATGTTGAAAATAGCTTTGGAAATTAGCCACTCTCAACTTTTACTCTAAGATGGCATGAACAATACCAAAAGCCTTTGTCAGTCACAAGCAAAGATATGGGGCATTCAGTCTTTACATTCCACTTTGCAAGTATTTTGGAAGTGTTTCCCAGGTAGGAGCCCTTCCATGTTATAACAAAGTGAGCAAAATTCCGGAAGTTCTTTATTAGAGCTGGAGTATCAATCATACTCATCCGCTTCACAGAAATTGATTCACCAAGCTTGAGTCCTGTAAGTTAACTTACAGGTAACTACATCTAAGCTCAACACTTTAAGGGTTTCTGAATTACAGAGCTCGAAGTGAGGCTAAGGAAGAAGAGATCTGAAACTGTCTTTCTTCTTCAATTCAGACCATCTTGAGCACTGGCACAGAAAGAGCAGAAATAGAATGAAAAAGAACCTGACAAAATGGCTTTTTTTAAAATTAATTTGAACCACTCAGAAATAGATTATTACTAAAGCAATTGATGTGCCCACTCTCAATTTCCAAAGCACAACTATATCAGTAGGCATGATGACAATTCATACTGAACTCTCCCATGCTAAGTATGAGTGATCTGCAAAAGCATAGTGAGCAAGGCCTCTGGAGTGTAGGGTTGCATTTGAAAAATAAGCCTTCCTGTAAGTCACTGACAACACAGAACAGAGACTGTCTTTAAAAACAATCCTGTAAGAGCCACTATGGAACCATGCCAGTACGAAGATACTTGTTAGTCTAGCTTAAACCAGGAAGGTATTTTAGGCTCTAAGCTTTGCTCCTCAGTCCTTTGGAGGCTGGGGAATAAAATGATGACAAGTTTCCATGTCCATTTGAACATCTAAGACTGTTAGTAAACTGAATAGTTTATGCACATTCGTGTGCATAGACGATACTAAAATACAAATTCCTTTTAAAGTGCTGCTACTGAATATTGGTGGTTACTGAAGCTAAGTAAGGGTGACATTAGGTTTGTTGCATAATTCTCTTTTGTGAATGTTTAAAATAAAACTTTAAAAGTATGTTATTAAACTCAGTGAAGTTTTAAAATGTGTCCTCAACCAGTGGAGTAGAATTATAAGCATTGTTGTAGTGACCTTGGAAAGAGATAGAATCTTTTCTTTCTTACCTTGCTTCCTTCCTTTCCTTGAGATAAGGTCTTGTTAAATATTCTAGGCTGGAATGGGAGTTGCTACATAGACCAAGATTATCTTTCACTTGAGATACTCCTACTGTTACTAGTTTTCCTGCCTTGCCCACAGTCAGGACAAATCTTTGTCACCCGCCAGTCCCACAGCTGCTCAGACCCAACCAAGTAAACACAGAGACTTATATTGCATACAAACTGTATGGCTGTGCCAGGCTTCTTGCTAACTGTTCTTACAGCTTAAATTAATCCATTTCCATAAATCTATACCTTGCCACGTGGCTGGTGGCTTACCAGCATCTTCACATGCTGCTGGTCATGGCGGCGGCTGCAGTGTCTCTCCGCCTCAGCCTTCTGCTTCCCACAATTCTCCTCTCTCCTTGTCCCACCTACTTCCTGCCTGGCCACTGGCCAATCAGTGTTTTATTTATTGACCAATCAGAGCAATTTGACATACAGACCGTCCCACAGCACTCCTACCTCTGCTTTCAGAGTGCTGTAATTACAGACGTGTGCTTCCACACTTGGCTAGAAAGGTAGTTTTCATACTTGTAACGGTTTGAATTCTTTTGATACACATGGTCCCTACTGTGAGATGTATGCACTCTACAGAAGTTGTAACAATGATACATTATAAGTAGTATTTATATTAGTTTTAAATATTCAGAAAATTGTTTTATTAATATCAAATATAAAGAGTGACTCTGGTATTCTCAGACTAGTCATCAAGGAAAGATGTTTTTAATAATGAGTGAAAAGATAATTTCCTTTCAACAGACATATGTCATAAAGAAAGCATTTTAAAACATATATTTGGGCTGGGAAAATGTAGTTACGAGCACTGACTGCTCTTCCAGAGGACCTGGGTTCAGTTCCCAGCACCCACATGATGGCTCACAACTGTCTTAACTCCAGTTCCAGGACATCAGATGTCCTCGGTGGCCACCAGGCACACACACTCATACACATAAAATAACAATAAATGTAAAAAAAGCAGATATTTGGGGTCTAGAGAGATGGCTCAGCAGTCAAGAGTGCTTACTGTTCCTGTAAATGATTCAGGGTTGGTTTCCAGCACCCACATGGTGGCTTCCATCTCTAACTCCAGTTCCAAGGAATCTGATGCCCTCTTCTGGCCCCTGATGGCACCAGGCATGCATGTGCTGTACAAGCAATCACTCATAAATACAAGTTAAAAATAATATTTTAAATGTAAAACTAAAAATAGAAAAAAAAGTTTTTCACTGTCTTGTAAATATGTTGCTGAAAAGTGAGTCACCTATTTGCCCAACTTTTGAAAGAAGATTTTATTTTTATTTTATGTGTTTATGTGTATGAATGTTTTGTCTGCATGTGCATCTGTATACTACCTGCATGCCTGGTGAGCAAGGAGGCCAGGAGAGGGCACCAGAGCTCCTGGAACTGGGGTTAAGGGCTGTAGTAAGCTACCACATGGGCGCTGGAAACTGAAGCCAGGTTATCTGTAAGAGCAGTGAGTGCTCTTAACCACTGAGCCCTCTCTCTATCTTCTATTTGTCCTAACTTTAAAGAAAAAAGTAATAGGGCATTTTCCCAAGTGTGTGAGTTTTATTTTTATTTATTTTTATTCATCTATTTTACATCCCAGTCACAGCCTCTCCCTGCCTTCCTAGTCACTCCCCCCAATCCCCCTCTCTGCTCCCCACCCAATCTTCTCCTCTTCCATCTCCATCCAGGAAAGGGCAGGTCTCCCATAAGTATCAATAAAACATGGCATATCAAGTTGCAGTGAAACTAACTAAGCACCTCCCCATATATCAAGGTGACCCAGTATGAGGAGTAGGGTCCCAAACGTCTGTAAAAGAGTCAGAGACAGCCCCTGATTCCACTGTTAGGAGTTCTGTGGGAACACTCATCCCTAGCAGGCTCGAGGCCCAGCCAAGTAAAAAAGATACTTTCTGAGAGCCAGCCTGGGTCTGCCTAAGGGCCTTAGCAACAGCAGCTGAAACATGATCTGGAGATGACCTAGACCAATGAGAGACAGCTATGTCACACCAGCAGATGCATATTCATCAGACCTCCCCCAGGGAGGGGTGGAGGGTATATAAGGCTTGCCTCTAACTGAATAAACTGAGCTTGTTGTTCTCCTGGAGTCTGTGTGCCGTTGACTCTGCGCCTACTTGGCCCCCTCCCCCAAAGCGAACAACAGCAAGGACCCTGCTATAGAGTCCCACAATAGGACCAAGCTACACAACTGTAACATATATGCAGAGAGCCTAGGTTCAGTCCCATGCAGGCTCTGTGGTTGTTGGTTCAGTCTCTGTGAGCCCCTATGAGCCCAGGTTAGTTGATTCTGTGAGTTTTTTGTTTTTTTACTTGACCCCTCTGGCTCCTAAAATCCTTTCTTCTCCTCCTCCGCAGGATCCTCAAACTCTACTCAATGTTTAGCTGTGGTTCTGCATGTTTCCATTAGCTGCTGGATGACACCTCTCTGGTGACTATTTGGGCTAGGAACCAATCTAGTCATGGGAAATAGCCAGTTCAGGCTACTTATTGGTTATTGCTAGGAGTCTAAGCTTGGGTCATTCCTGTAGACTCCTGGGAGTTCCCCTGCGCCAGGCTTCCTTCCACCTGACCCTGAAATGCTCCCCCCGCCCCCCCAGTCCTCCTCAGCGCTCTTTCCCTCAGTGCCCCCCAACATGATCACTCATATTCCCATACCCACCCGGCCTCAGTCCACTCACAAAATCTCTTCTATTTCCCCTTCCCAGGGAGGTCTGAGTGCCTCCCTAAAAACCCTCCTCATTACCTAGTTTTTCTGGGTCTGTGGATTGTAGCATCATTATCCTTTACTTTACAGCTAATATCCATTTATGAGTGAGTACATACCATGTTTCTCTTTCTCCAAGTTACCTCACTCAAGATGGTTTTTTCTAGTTCCATCCATTTGCCTTCAAATTTCCTGGTGTCCTTTTTTTTTTTTTTTTTTTTTTTTTAGCAGCTGAGTAATACTCCATTGTGTAAATACATCGCATTTTCCTTATCCATTTTTTGGCTGAGGGGCATCTAGCTTGTTTCCAGGTTCTAGCTACTATGAATAAAGCTTCTATGAACATAGTTGAGCAAGTGTCCTGTGGTATGATTGAGCATTCCTTGGGTATATGCCCAAGAGCAGTATAGGTTTGGGTCTTGTGTTAGATTGATTCCCAGTTAACTTGCCTAAAACCAGCTGTACCAATAGTTTAAACTCATTTGTGCATTTTACGTTGGTGCTCACTTTGATAGCACATAAACTAAAACTGGAATGATCCGGAGAAGATTAACATGGTACATGTCCACGGATGACATGCAAGTTCATAGTGGTTCACAGTTTTCTAAAACAGACTGTGTTTGAAAATGTCATAATGATACCTAATCCTTTGTATATTAATTTCAAAAGTTTTCTGGAAGCACAAGGAATATGGAAATTAAACTATTACTTTTTTATTTTGTAAGATTCACTGATTAGATGTTAGGGAGAATGAAATTTAATAAATCAAATGTCAGCAAAATATCTTTAAAATCACTGTGCAGTAAGACTGAAAATTCAGTGGCACAATTTTCTGAGAACACGCATCTATTTAGGTACATGAATCTTTGTAAGGTTTCATTTTCAGCTATGACATCCATTGAAGACAAGTGCCAGTTTAAAATGAACTCAGGATTCTAGAATATTAAAGCATAGTTTCATAGTTAATGAAGCGTAGTCGCCACACTGACCTCACTGAAATACTAATAATAACATATTTAAAATAAGAGATACATTCTAAACTGTCAAAGAGGATATATTTAATAAATAATTTCACATTTATCTCACACTTTAAAATAGCATATATTAAATATGTTAGTATAGCCACACATGGATATACTGTTACTATTACAAAGATTAGTGAGATATATTTTAATGCATCTTATAAGATCACACCCAGAAAACCCTAAATTTTAATGTATATGTAAGACACCCTGGGATAAATATTGCTGAAATTTGGTTTCTGCTAAGCAGTTTATCTTCACACCACATTTTAAAGCAGCAATGTCATGTTTAGCAGGGTTACCCAATTAAAAGTATGTTTGGAGACTGCTGAGAAAAATGAGCTGACAACAGTTCTTTGCTTCTCTCAGTAGTTTTGGAAAGAACTCAGCTACAAATCACTGCTTTTCTACTTCTTAACGGCAGGGCTTTGGCTGAGTAATGTCCCCCATCGGCTCAGGTATTTGAAGATTTAGTTCCCAGATGGTGATGCTGTTTGAGGAGCTGTAGGTGACACAGCCTTGCTTGAGGAAGTCACCGATAGGGAGCTTTGAGATTACATAGCCTTGCTGTATGTGCGGTCTACTCTCTCTGCTCCATGCTTGCAGTGAATGATCTGAGCATACAGATCTGCCTACAGCCACGCTGTCTCCACCATTACAAACCCTGAACCTCTGGAACCTAAGTCAAAAATAAACCCTTCCTTCTGTGAGGTGCCTTGGTCATGGTATTTTAGCACAGCAACAGAAAAGTAACAGATGTTTTCTGTAGCTTCAGTAGTAGGATAAGCTGGGATAGAACCAACATCCCTGTATAGGAATAAATATAACTGAAAAGGGTACACAGTCCAGCACAGGACTGAAGGATAACTTGCTTCTGCCTTGTAGAACTAAGGTGTGATAAGATGTGCATGCAATCTTATAGAGTACTCAGGAAAGTGCAGTTATTATAATTGGAAATTGTTGCCTATAGAGTGGGCTATAATTATCTCCAGACAATTATTTTGGGTTTTCTTTTACACTGAGACAAATAACCATCAAAATATTACTATGTCAGAGTATGACTAACATTTTTTAGGCTGAGAAAAGTCTCAAAACTGCCTAAAACCACTTCAGCTATTAAAAACAAACACACACATATGTAGTGGGTAGCTGTTCCAGCTTTGACCTGGAAGTACTACCCCCACTGAAGCTTCTATAACTGTCACACCTAGAAGGCGGAGCCAAGAGAGGAACCCTGAAGACCCGAGATCCTGATGGGCCGGCTCTCTTGGTTCCTGGATCCTGGACGCTGGAGGTAGACCAAGCAGAGTTCTCCAGAGAACACTGCTGGACTCTGCTTCACCTTTCCCAGACCCTGATACCTATCCCTTCACTTGTAAGTTCCCCACAAAATAAACCTCCCTTTTAACTACGTGGAGTGGCCTTAATATTTCTACCAATACATAGATACACACAAACTCGGTAAACACCCTTTGAACACCTTCGAGATATATCATTTACTTGTGTTTTCCCAGGTAAGATAGCTGAAGAAAAATACCATGATGTACTTGCTCTACAGAATTATTTATGTTTTCTCACAAGAAATAGAGAATACTGAAATGACAAACTTGTTTTAAAAATAATTTGCAAGGCTCTCTTTCTAGCAATTAGCTGAGTCACTCATAGCCAGCAATGTTGTCTTCATATAGCATTATTCTTACAAGTTTTTAACTTTGCTATTTGTGGAGGCCCACAAAGGTTTAGATTGGATGAACTAGGGGGAGGTGTTTTGCTTCACCTCTTGGCATTCCTATAAATAGCCCTTTAGAAGAGATAGAAGGGGCTGGTGGAGAAGGATCCAGGCTTTCCTGAGGCTACCCTGTGTTTGTTTCTTTCCCCTCTATCCTTCTAGTATCTCTTATCCCTCTTTCCTCAAGAGTACCCTATCGTAAAATGTGGGAGCCGTTTTCCCAGCTCGGCTCCCACAGCTATGTGTGTGTGTGTGTGTGTGTGTGTGTGTGTGTGTGTGTGTGTGTGTGTGTATGACACGTGTCAGAATATGCACACTTATGTGACATGGCGCACGTATGTAGGTCACAGGACAACTTTGTGGAGTCAGTTCTCTGTCTTTTTCTACCTTTATGTGGGAACTAAGGATCGAGCTCAGATGATTAGGCTTGCAAACTTAATGGTTTCATTTGCCAAGTTATTGTACTGGACCCCTTCAAACATTTTTCTTTTGAATGTTTACATTATGATTGTGTTTGTGTGAATAATGTGGGAGTGCCGGTAGGTGCATGTGGCACACCAGGCCTGTGGAGGTCAGAGGACAACTTTGTACGTTAGTTCTTGATAGAGAATGATACTTATGTTACATTTTCATTTTTTTTTTGTTAATGTGGACCAGTCATATTACCCTTAGTTTTAAAAAGTTGCTCTACATGTGAGTTCAGTCATGTATTAGGACTCAAATAAGCTAGGAATTTTCTAGTATTAGTTTTCAGTATTGCAGCCCATCGAACACAACATTGTGGTTTTCCTTTTTGGTGTTTTCAAGACAGTGCTTCCCATAATGCATACAGTATCAATGAAGCCGGCTACTTGTCATGTTGGTTAGCAAAACATTTCAAGGCTATGAAACAGTTTTCAATGCTAACTATCATAGCACATCAGGCTTCTCTTCTCTACATACGTGCTTGCATTTCTAGCTTGTTTGTTGTGACCCTTTGTTTCCTTTGCTTCTCAGATTTCTCCCTGACTGAGAGATAGGCAGGCTGCATTGCCCGCGTTGACATAAATGCTGATCCATGTGCCCTCTGACTCCTCAGATGACTAAGTGGGTGGCAGCAAGAACATGCACTGTGCCAGTGTACGCATGAATGCTGTCTGTCACATGTAAGGCAAGGAGCAGGGGGACATAAAGCAAGTCACGAGTTGTCAAGAATTCTAAATTGAAGTTTTGTTTTTATCAAGGTCCCAGAAACCCAAAGCCACATGAAGTCGTGACCCTTCACCGCCGCCTCGCCCACATACTGAAGGGAGGAATCAGATACTCATGGCAGCCACCCAACCAGATTGCTTTTTCCTGCTCCCTGCCTCCACTCTGGTCCACTCTGGGAGACCCCTCCACTATGCCTGAAGGTGAAGGAGATCCTTGAGTGGAAGGCCATGTCTGTATGATTGTTCTACCCACAAAGCCCCCAAACATGAACCTCCCAGGGTTTAGTGAAAACCTTGTTTTCTCAATGAATATATACAGAATGAATGCGTGTCTCTTTCAAAAAGAGGGGGGCAGCTTTCACACACAGTAAAACTGCACTCAATACTGACCCTGATGTTGTAAGAAAATGTTTCTTGTTTATACTGCTGTATTTTAACTTTTAGCTGATCTGAGCACAAAGAGAGCTCTTTCATTTCAGAGAAAGAAGGTTTATGGTGTGTAGGAGAGCGAAGAACAATGGGCCCAATTGATAAACTAGAGATGCTCTCAGCTTCTGAGAGCCTGGAAACTCCATCTATAGATCCATCCCAGAGGGCAGAACTAAATAAGGACAGATGGAAAACACAGCTTTCTTGGGAACTGGCTTTTGCTCCTCTGAGGCAAAAATACATTCACTCTGTAGCACCGAGTCAATTCTCCAAAATGCGGTGCCGTGTCCTTGTTTCCAGGGTCTAAAAATAAATCCTATGTGTTTTAGTCTTTGTCTTAAAGCCATTCAAGCAGACTGACTTGGAGAATATTAATTGTGGTGAAGCGGAGATTAGGAGACTCGAGTTGAACCACTTTTGAATCGAGCTCCTTAGCTGATCACTAACATGCGGCCTACAGCTAAAGTCTCCTTTCTCATGTTTCTTGTCAGCCACAACGATGAGACAAATCTACAGCCAATTTTAAGTTCAGCTTTCTTCAGGCTGGTCATCAGAATGCTGTCCATGTTACGTTAGGTGAGCTCATGGCCTAAGCTCTCCAGGGCAGTGGGTATCATTAATTCCTTTTAATCCAGAACTGCCACCGCATGTTTACATTTATATTGTCCTTGTTATATCTTCCCTGCCCAATCAACATTCAACTTCAAACCTTTCATTTAGTACTTCCCAAGTAAAACTGTATTATTCATGTGGGAAATCACCTGGGCATCTTTACTGGAAAAGCTAAACAATTTCGAGAAAAGGTAAAAGTAATTTAGTCTAAATATACCAGGTGCTGGGGCTGTACAATGACACTGGGAAGCAAATCTTACTGACTCAGCACGAGCAGAACACTCGGGAACACAAAAGGAACCGGTACAGAGACCTGAGTTTAGCCCAGCATGGAAGCGCACGCCTTAATCCCAGCACTCTGGAGGCAGAGGCCGGTGGATCTCAAGTTCATGGCCTGCTTGCTATACATGGAGCGTTCCAGGACAGCCAAAGATTATAATGAAACCTTGCCTCAAATAACAATATTTAAGTACAGACAAGCATTTATTGGGTTTCTTCAGGTAAACTGTTTTGCATTTTGCCTCTATTTCTTAGTGCCCTTGGATATAAAAAAAGAAGTAATATATTTATCCAGTACATTTTTCATAGAAGTAGTGTAAGAATAACTTAGATGGCCTGAAAAATACACGAGCACCTTGAGTTAGCTATAATTAAGTTCTTTGTTGCTGAGCACAAACAGAACAATTCACTCAAAGGACACCATGTTTGATTGAGAACATTCTTAATTTTATTTTCTTTAATTTTATAAAATACATTTTATAAGATGAGTTTCTACAAGTCTATTCTTTATGTTGTTAAAATCAAAATTCTATATCAGAAGTGAAGGAAACACTTGCAGTTGATTAACTCTCTTTGTGTGTGTGTATGTGTGTGTGTGCATGTGAGGGTTTCAGGGGACAGCTGGTTATCTGTTATGTTATTAAATCAAAACAACATAAAAGACATCGATCATTTCCCTTTCCTTCGTCTTGATTGGTTTCTTACAGAGCCTTTCCCTCTCCTCACTCTTGGGTCCCCTGCTAGCTATCTTCTCTACTGGCCCAGGAACGAGTCTCACTGTCTTCTTGCGTAGTCCTTCAACGTGGCAGAAAACACTCTGGAGAATAAGGACGACACAGATCTATGACCAAAGGTCTAGAATAACCTCTTCTTCAGTCAAACCAGATCGGAGTTGTTGTTTTGTTTTTATCCCAAAATTAACAAATACAGGCTAAGCTTGACATCTGGGAGTTCTTCAGGTTTCAAATTCTGTCTGTCTGTCCTCTCCATGTCTCCAGATCTCCATGGAAGCTTACCAAATGAACAGCTGACAGCTGGTGCAATCTATTATGTGACCTATATGTACCAAGAGACAATATCCTCTATGCTAAGTCTAATTCTCAAAATGCCAAGATAACATTAGCAAGCAAAATCATCTGTCATTTGTTCGAAAAGAAAAATATTGGACAGGTTATTCAAATTGAGGTTGAAATTTACCAAGCCCATTTCTACAAATGCAGAATACTTGTGGAAAATCCAAATAAATTCATGGGACTAGACAATTTCAAATATTTGGTAATGCTTACTGTCCAGTGTTCTTTTTTTCAAAAAGAACTATAATCAAAAAGCATTCTCCAGATCTTTCTGATCTAACTCCAAACAAGAGAGAAACAATTGGAAAATGTGAAACATGAATCATTCTCAAACTAATCAAGATCTTCAAATCACCCGCTAGGAGTGATTGGCTAAAAACCCAGGAAAAGAGCACCATTGTGAAGATAAGCCAGAGGCCAGAGGACACAATTAATTGACAGGAAAAAAGGTATGCTATCCAAAGAGTTAACTATCTGTCATCTACCCAGGGGGCCATCTTAAGTTACACCTATAGCCTTCACCAACTGCTGCTCTTTAGGTCACAGTCTTATTTCATGAAAGCTAGTTTCCGTCTATTCTCAGCTCCTTGGAAACCACAGGGTTGTCATGGTAGCTGTTATCAAGGAGAAGGGAGTGAGAAGATCCTGACAACACTGTTTCTCTTCCTAATGAGGTGTAAGGACAGATTCTGCCCCCTTTGTCTACACAGACACTGTGCTCCCTTATGCAGTTAAGTAGGGCTGTCTGAGTTAGGGCTTATATAGTCCATTGCCATTGGGGTCAGAGCTCTCTTTCTAAGAGTGAAAGATCCTTGCTTTGACCCCTGTCTCCCAGCTGCAGGAGGCAGATTTGGGCAAATGCTATCTCTTTGCTAGCACTCTTTTATTTTCTTCTGTCTTCAGTGGAAATAGGAAGATAGAGTGAGCTCTTGGTTTTGTGCATCAAGGAGAATACATGTGGCTCCTATTGATGGCAAGGAGACCAAGGACATTCCTGCTCTCTCCCTGAGAATCTTTCTTTCCACTTTGTTTTTCTCAATGGAAATGCCCTTGGAGAAGGAAGTACATCCTGGTCTTCCGAAGATGCTCCCAAGTTGAATTAGAGCTTTCACTCCTCTGGGCCTTGCAGCTGGAGAATCGCCTTCTCGGGCACTCCCTGTTTCTAGCAGGAACCAGCTGTGGGGCACAATGACTAAAAGAGGTACGTGAAAGGGAGAGTCCACAGAGAGAGCTTAATCACTGCAAGACTCTCCTTCCTTGTTATACTCATCAAGTAAGAAGAGGGCCAATCAGCGGCAAAGGCAGAGTTAAGATAGGAGACACAACGCTGTAGGCTGTGTGGTTAGAGCCTCGCTATTAGACAAAGGGGACTTTCTACGGGAGATCAGAACTTGGTGCCTCGGCCCATGAGTTTAAGGACGGCGAAGTTGTAAGTGGCAGCAATCATGAAGGTGAGCTGCAGGGAACAGAAGAGAGAAGGTGAGTGAGTAGAAAGGGAAGGTCTCTCTTCCCAAAACCTTTTAGGAATGAGGGAGAGTTTGAAATAAAATCACAACTAAATAATAGGAAATCGTCTGTTTGAAAACAACAACAACAACAACAACAAACTAAAAGGCACATTGCTGTTCTTTTTTCTATATTTGTGAATTGAAATCTTCTATTAGACACTTAAACAGTCGCCCAGATAACCTAATCAATCAAGATGTATTCCACGGCTAGGTTCTGCTAACCACTGACCTTTCCTTAAGGGAGTTAGCCAGGCCTGTGCTCTGTCACGTCAGCATGTGGAAGTGACTTGGAGTTGTAGAGTGTTTGCTATAGACACACAGCTACTGCATGAGCATAGCCCTCCTATCTTTTATGCATCAAATGATTGTACAAAGTAGAAGTGAGCTGGATTTCTGTGAAAGCCTCCAGGTACTGAGGAGGACTCTGTGAGCTCTTCCCTGTGGTTAACTGCTGCTTGAGACTTGAGGTCAATCGCCTTGCCCTTCAGTGCCTCTGGAATGAGCATACTGCATTGGTACTGTACCAACACCCCCTGCAGGGCCCGGGGCGTAGGATTGCCACATGTCACAACAATTCTAATATGAGCAGGTCCCTCCAGTCTCCCCGAGAGTACTTAAGTCCACTAGAGACTATCTAAGAAGTTTCTACTGTACAGAATCCGGGGATACAGCAAATCCTGTTTAGTGATACTCATGGCAGAATATGGAGCTCCACACTTTGCTGACCATTCTCATAGCTTCTCTCCAGCCTTTCAAAGTTGGAAGGAGACTCTCTTCTAGTCTGAGCCTAACACTACTCAAGCTATCCCTGGAGCATTTATTTTCTAATATTATTTTAAAACAACTTACCAGGGAAACTAGTGTGGCTGCAGCACCCACAAATGCAGCAATAAACAGGTGGAAGGTCATTTGGAACTGCAGGAAAATGTGTGCAAGAGAATTATTTCATATAACAGAAAAGCAAAGCATGAGCCACACTAAAGAGTGAACGCAGTTTGCTGGCTGCATTGCGGTCTCTCCTGTATGTTAATTTTGTGTCTCTAACTAAATTTTCACTTCCCTAAGTGTCAACCTCCCATTCGTCAGTCATGGCACCTCATACCCACAGTATCCTAAGGACTCAGAAAACAGATGAATGATCCTACAAAATTAACTCATTTCCTACAGTTGTGCCCAGGATCCCAAATTTCAAAGTCGATACTTTGTTTTCAAAGATGTTTTTTTTTCTGACTTTCTCCCTAGGATTTGCTTTTATTCCCTTGCCTCTATGGCATATACATGTTCTCAATGAAGCATTTTATTTTTTTCAAGTGTACTTATTTCACTGGAAAACATGGAGTTTCAAATGTAAAGTATTTTATAGAGTCCATGTGTGTCTTTGTGCATGGCCTATTCTCTTGAGAAGTTTTTAACCTTAAGGAAGATTCTCATTTGGGAAATTTTACTACTAAGTACTACCTTTATCTAAAGCTGTACATTTTTTTGGTAATGAGGGGAGTTTGGGAAAGTAAGATTTCTGCTGCAGCTCTGGGGAAAAGAGGTACTTTTACTTTTAATCAGTATGCTCATTGGTTCAGGCACACTTAGCCATTATTTTGTAGAAGGGAAATCTGCTTATTGAAAGTCCAACATGGAAAGACTACAATCCTTGAAATTGAAGGTCATGAGGAGAAACTTCTGTTATAGGCTGGCATTTCTATGCTATTATCCAATCCCTTTCAAAAATAACCCTAATCATTCACTTACCTCAGCTGTTTTGCAGATGGACAGAAGGTTGGAGCCACAAACCTTGCCAGGGAAAGCATTCCATGGGAGAACACCTAAGGCACAAAAGTCAAGCAGAGTAAATTTAATAGAGCTAGAGGGCCATGTGGAGGCTTCCTCCAGAGCCTTTCTACCTTCTCTATCCTGGCAGTAAACCTGACATCGACAATAAGCATGATCCTCCTTTCTAAAATTATATAAAAGCAAAGGTGGTATTGAATAATGCTGAAATCTTATAGTATTGAAATGTGCTGCTTTGGGGGTTGGTAATGGCACTCAGTCAGAGAAAAGGAGTAAGAACAGCCAAAAAACAAACAAACAAACAAACCCTTCTAAAACTTCCATGTTCCCTTTCTGCGGGGGGAATCCTTGGTTTCAGGAAAGAGATTAATAAATTAAGGAGCATTTATTCATCATCTTACAATACTTCCATAATCACCATCCTCCTCACCCTAGGACAAAAACAATACACGTTGCTTCCATAGATGGCAGGGAATCTGAGACCCCCACATCCAACTCACCGTACATCCTGGCATCAGCGCAGAGACTGCCTATACTGGCAGAGGTCTTGCTGGGGTTGGCAATAGACTGACAGGTGGTCCAGGTATTGAAGTAAATGTACACAGGCACAGCAGAGCAGGCAAACACCAGGAGCCACACAACAGTCAGGGCATAGGTGATGCCCACAAACTAAAACAATTGACATGGGGTGGTTAAAAATCAGCATCGGTGTGCAGACCCTGAAACACAAGCTGGAAGATCCCGGAGTGGCATATGCCAATGAAGTCAGATTCCAGGTACCTCCCTCAAATGGAATTAGTGAGCAGGGCACTTCTACGAAGTGTCATCGGCAGTGTCTCTTAGAGAACTGGCCCCAAGTGTGATGGAGGGTAGGGGAATGGGTGGGAGTTGGGGTGAGGCGGATCCCTGGGTTAGAGGGGCTTCAGGGGATTTGGAGGGCAGAGAAGGTGTAAAAAAGTAAAAATAAAAAAAGTCCTGAAAGAAAGTTGTGCCATTTTGTGCCTTAGGCTGAGCTTGCAAGATGTTCTTTGGAGTTTTGTTCCCTAGTCACTGAACAGTGCCAATAGGAGATTTAAATTTTAGATCTAAAACCATTCTAAGCTAACTGCTGGTCACAAAAAGTCATCACCACAACACACACATGTTCAGACCCCAAAAGATCTTTAACTCTAGAAACTAAAAACCAATACATGTCTTTCTAAAACATGGCTAGCCCAAAGATAAATGTGAAATATACAGATCTAGCCTAATTCTCTCTGGGACCCCAATAGTAATACGATCCCAGAATACTGTGACTTGGGTCAATTCTTTAATTTCTATGGTCCACCCTCCATTTCAGGTTACGTGTCTAAGTCTCAATCCCATGACAAGTATTTTAGATTCTTGTATAGTCTGGTCCACTCTTGTAGTCTTTGCTAGGAACAAAATAAAGGGATACCAACAGATTGGTTAGAAATGGTCTTATTGTACAAAGCATCCTACAAAATTCATGCTTTTTAGTTTGAGATGAAATTTTCTAGGGAACCTTTGGAAGGTTAGGCTAAGCCGGCCAGGCACCACTTTCTTCCTGACCATATCGTTCGGCTGTAGCCATCGCTTCCTCACTCAAAAGCCAGGCCTCTGGGGAGGACCCAACCTTGGGTGGGGATGAGGCCACAGACTCACGCCCAATTGTCTCCCACCCCTTGTTATTGCCACAAAATCCTGAGGATGATCACCTTGTCGGGATGTCCTAGCCATTTTCCCAAACAATGACACACCCGCTCCAAAGAATGAGCTTGATGTTGGCCTCTGGAACCCCTCCCCTTCTGGCCCCCTGTTACCGTTGCGCTCAGGCCCTTGCCGCAGATGGTGGTCTTGTAGTCGCCAAAGATCTGCCTGACTGCGCCGGTGGTGTAGAAGCCCTCAGCCAGCAGGAGGGCCCCATAAAGGAAGAAGAAAGAGGCAGTTCCATAGATGACATACTGGAAAGCATGAATCCTGCATTGACAGATGGAAAAGTCCAGACAACCGTATTCAGAGGACACAGCTCTTTTCGTCAGTTAGTAAAGGTACATGCCTGAGGAGCTAGAGGTTCTTAAGAGGAATCACTGGGTTTCTCCTGAGTTCCTTCACCTTTTCTTCACTGAAGTGAATGAAGCCAGATGGTAGGTGGGCAAAAGCAAGTGCTTCTCTTCCCACCCCCGGAATTCTTGTTATCCTGCATCCTAGAAAAGCAAGCTTGCCACCCCTTGCCTGACCCTTCAGAAGTGATACTCCATAGGAGAGATATGCTCGACAAACCAGGAGATGCGCGAACAAATGTAGCCTGACTTGCTCTTGGAGTAGGTGAGACTAAGCCTGAGTACACAAGAACAGTGTGTCAGACCAAGACCAGGGACTCCACTCTGCCTGTCGTTGGATGCCACCTGCCATTGTGGAGACAACTCACACAACATTAAACACACCTAGCAGAAACTGGACCCTGTGTGAGCCAACAGAGAGGAGTGAGAGGAATTATACCTCTTTTCTGAACCTGACATTATCTCCTCACTTAGAGCTTGCAACATGGCACAAGAGACTCTGTACACAGAGAGATGGTCAGGAATTCTATCTGGCTCCACACTGGTCCCCTACTACTCATGAGGATCATGAGGATGCTGATGAGTTTTATACCTCCATGACAGGGTGAGGGAAAAAAAAAGACGTGGGTCTGGGAGGGGGGAGGTACTTACACATTAATGAGATACTCATAATCCTGGAAGTTTTTGGAGAAATAGGTCTCAATTAGCTTCTCTGTACCAGTGAGAGCTTCATGTCCACATCCACAGAACAGTGCCACTCCAAAGAAACACAATCCAGTGGCCACCAGGGAAGCAAAGGGGGCCCCAACCAGACATCTTGCACAGCACTCTAACAAGCCTAGGGAAGAAGGGGGCCGTCAGGTATGCGTAATAGGTAACTCATCCACTCACATACATTGCCGGGCCAAGCAGCCCGTGCTGCCAAGCACAGAGAGTGGTTATCTTGGGAGCTCTAAAGGAGAATCTACAGGTTTTAGCTTTGGGAATGTGAGATTGACCCAGATTCATTATTTTGCTCCATTCTTAAAATTGAAGCCTCATGTTCAATACACAGAATATATGTATGGGTTTTTAAAAGGAATCAACTAATTCAAGTAGCAATCCAGGAAAGTGATAAGATTAGCCCCACTTTTCTTACTTTTGTAGTCTGTTGACTTATTTTAATTATTCATCAACTATGGAATAAATGTGCCCAGCACTGGACATGGGATATGAAAACAGAACAGGGACAAACTCTGCCAAATTGGAAACCTTCAGTTGACTGAGGAAGAATGAATGAAGCAGGTGTAATACTTTCCACCACCAATTCCAGGAAACCAAGTAAATGGCTACAGAGAGTAAATACATGTAGAATTTCAGAAGAAAGCGCATGAACCATAGATGTTAGTGTTTTCAGACACAATTTGAACTGAAAGAGCATTCCAGGGGGGAGATAGGATGGGAAGTGCATGTTTCTGGACATTCGACACATGATGCATATTTGCTGCAAGGAATGCCAAATCCTCCTTGATCTGGATAGAAGGGATCAGCCCAGAGAAGAAAGGAACTGGCACAGGACAAGGAAGGTTGCTTTTGCACACAATGATAAAAAGAATAGTGACAATGCAAATGCAGACTTGGGGCTGGAGAGAGGGCTGGTGGTTAAGACTGCTTGCTGCTTCTACGGAATCCATGTCAGACAGCTCCAGAGTATTTGATTCCCTATTCAATAGAGATATATTTTAATAACGGCTTGATGATTTGTCGATGTTTTGAACATTTGCTGCATACCACTGTAGCTTGTCCAGTTTCTGTACCCTCAAAATTACACTGAGATTCTGTTGGTACAGCCACAAGGAGACTTTCTGTAATGACCACAGCAGCTTTCTGGCATGGGACACGGGCCATGGGAACACACAGGGCCTGGGAACACAGGTGTCTTAAAGTGCTACGAATACCTGAGATCCCCAGACCAGGTACCTCTCAGTCCTGTACCAGTGTTGCTGAGAAATAAGAAAGGTACATCAAGTAGTCACCGACCCTGGAAGCAGTTATGGCCCCCCGAGTTCTGGTGTTTATGAAATGAAACTGATCAAATGCCAAGTAGATGGCTGACTAGACAGATACACATGTGGTTCCCTCTGGCCTCTTGACCACATCTGCAAAAGGTGGAAAAATGAAAATATGAAGTTCTTTAAATAGGAGGTATATGTAATAGATATATCAGATAGTGAATGTAGATAGTATATATTTAATATATGCACGTGTATATAATATATAAAACATATGTGCACACATATTTAGTAATGTATATATACACATACATACATACATACATATATACATACATACATAGGTCAGCTGATTTTTACACATCTATTCCTATAGTAAATGTACATAGAGATAATTTGGAAATGTGCCTGAGAAAGTACTAGTTTGTGATAAGTATGTTTTAACTCCTTATCTCCTTATATAATGAAAATAATTTTCTAAAGTTTGGACTTTTATATTCATGTATTTCTCTAAGCCAAGTTCAATTATCTACAACAGAATACCAGGAGAAATTGAAGTTCATTATCTTATCCCCTTAATATGAGCTCAGTTTTTATTAAAATCTCAGATACTTAAACATGTGATTTTCACAGATAAGTTGAACAATGTCAACAGATGTTGAAAGATCAAATTATGTGTATCATAGAAAAAAAAAGCTGGGATAGAGGCATTTATTTGTTTCTTTTATCAGAACCACAGAATAAGTGAGCCCTATTACCCACCACTCACTGAAAGGACAGCCTTCCCTAGACTTCAAAGAGTGTCTTCTTTGAAGATCCTTGTACATTACATTAGAGATATGGCTCAGAAGCCCAAGCCAAAGTATGCAGCAAACATTTGTAGCTGAATTGGGTCCCTTTCGTTTTCCCCAAACTGAAGCACTCCACAAGAGGCAATCAATTGGTTTGTCGCTGTGCTACCGTGAGTAGAGGCTGAGTTTACTCAACATGAACTTTGCAAGAGAGATGTTCACTACTGGCCTATGATGTGTATGCATGTGCACACCAAAGTAAAGCAAAACAGTTATAACTGATCACTGTCTTGGGGAGACGTTCCGGAAATTGATCTTATTTTTTATCATTAGGTGTAGATACTACATGTATCCAGTAAGTCAAGAAAAGGCACTTGGAAGTAAACACACCACCATTTTCATTCTCTGCCCTTTTAACTCCTCTCCACCCTCAGACTCTTAGACTCTTCTAGTAAAGAAGGTCTCTGAAGCCTGAGGTGGGGGTGGGGAGGTCACTGACCCCACTGTTCTCTCTCTCTCTCCAGCAAAGGGTCAAGCCTTGGACACAGCCCTCCATAACTTCCCCAGACAAAGAAGCCTTGTTTTCTCCTGCGATCTCAGGAGCCTCATTGGTATTCTGCAAGGCCCTGCAGGCCTGGGGGTGGGGAGGGGGTCAGATCCAGTAAACAATGGCAGAACTGTTTATTTAGCCAGGGTAAGGAGAGCCATCTACCCTGGCAAGTGGTCATCCTGTGCCCATTCACTCACCCAGCATTTTCACCATGGGATGGTCTAATGGTGAGGCAGGTGTGACCAGGAACTTGAGCTCTTGCCAGCCAGAGACATCTACTCAGTGCTTTAGCTGATGCCCTTCTATGTCTCTACTCTAAGGATGATTTTTCCCTCTTCCCATCAAGTGATGAAATGAAGAATGATTTACCATCCTGGACAAATAATCATTTGGTGGTCATCAAAATAACCAGAAAATGTTACACTTAGTGTTTTTACTGGGAGACAAAACTTTAGGAGCAACTCTAAATCACCACCACTTTTTTTTTTACACTTATTTCCTTAGTTCTCAGATAATAACTTAACACTCCCCTTTTTGTTCTATTGATGTTCAAGGCAAGAAACAAGGACACAGACTTTAGTGAGTCTCTCTAATGTGGAATTTATCCTTGAGATAAATTGACTGCTGTTAGGTTATAAAATATTTTAACAATATCAAAACAAGTATCTGATGCTAATTTCCTCAAAATTCAGATGAAATGTTTGTTCTAAGGGGCATTTAAGTTCAGCGGAAGTAAGGAACCGCAGCTAATCTGCCCAAGCAAAAGTCAAAATTTGAATTCCAACAGGGGAAAACTCAGAACATATAAGAGATTGTCTTTTCATCAAAGTAGTTGACAGTCAAAGGATTCTGAATAAAAGTCCATTGGGTTCACTTCGATTTTTCACAATCCAAAAAATGAACTTGGGAACATGTGAGCAGCAGCCTAAAACCATAAGCTCTCTGTTTCAGAATACCTCAGGGTCAACAGGGTTCTGAATATTAAAAGGCATTCTGTCATTTCCCAGCTAAGTAAAAATTGTGATGTGGTGGAGTCAGTATAAAAGAATTACATAATACAATTGCTACTCAATGAGATTTAAATGCCTCATTTTGATGAGAGATCACAGAGAAAATTAATGACGCTTTTTTTTCTTTGTGTTTGAGTAACTTGAGGACACTAACATCGAACACAGTACTAGTAACATAGATGCTGCAAGAAATAGAAATGAAGAGTCCAATTCCCCTTCCTCAGAAAACTTGTCATCTTGTTTGGGAGAACAAACTTATTTCCTAAATTGAAAACCAAAGATACCTCTTACTAGTGTTAAAGTGGATGTAACCAAATCCTGTGGTGAAAATCTACGGAAGACATTAGTTCAGAATTAGTTATATTTATCTCCAAATCCCCCAGACAAGCATGATGAATCTGTGATAGAACTTCCCTTCTCAGCAACGTTTGCGGTCAGAGATCAACAGTACTATTGTGACTCTCAGATTAAAACCCATCCCACTGACTGTCCTGATCCTGATTCGGTCTCTTTAAGCAGGAGCCCAGTGCTCCAGAGCCCTCCCTCCTTTCCCATGCCCTGGGCACACCTCAAGGACCAGCTCCATGATGGAAATTCAGTGTGAATCTGGGAACTCATCAAAGGGAGGAGAGGAAGGGCTTTCATAGAAAGGAATGGTAGAAAGAGACCAATTGTACCCCACACAATTCCCAGCTTGTCTCTTGAATCCAGCTGACAAAGGGAGAGATAGAAGAACCCTATACAATAGAGCAAAACAACAGGCAAGCTCTTTGAGTGAGAAACTGGTCCCATCTCCCTAAGTCTCTAATACGCGCTGCAGTCTTCCCCTCCTCCCAGAATCCACCCCTTAACCTCAACCCACAAACAGAGGCTTCCTTGATCAGGGCCTACAGCCATTAACATGGCCAAGATACTAGAGCAGCTGTGACTGGTACTAGGGATAGATGGTGATAAGTGGGTAGGGTTCTAGAAGTAAAACAACCATTATCAGGAGGTGACAGAGACAAAGGCTTTTGCTTCTGGTCTCATCTTGTTGGGACAAAGCCTTGCCCATGACTTTGTCTTTCCTGTATTCTATTAGCACTTAGAGTATATTCAAGAGCTCAAAAGGGCTCTACTGGGGTCTGAGGATTCAAGCTTGCTTGATAGTCAAGTCATATGGACAAAGTTAAATAAAAACCTCCTTATTAGACAGGTATTATTATCACTGCTGCTACGATCAGTGATCACTCCTATTGCTAGCATCACCAGGAAGAGCAACTGGCCTACCATACCTCCTATGTTCGTCTTCAGATACAGACTGGAACACACACACACACACACACACACACACACACACACACACACACACACACACACAGTCGGGGGGGGGAGGGGAGAAGCATGCAATTCATGTGCAAACATTTGGAGGCCAAAATCCAAGCTTGGTTGTTTAAATCTGTTCCTTGAACACTGTCTCTACCTTGTCCAGTTGTGGGGAAATGAAGAACAATCTGTCAGTAGAGACAAGTGCAGCCCTGCCTTATGCTACTAGATCCCGCTCTTGCCTTGGTTAAAGTGGGAAGCTGACCTGCAGAACCTCACCCTCTTCCTTGGGATGCCATTGACTCTTTTCCAAAGCCCTGAACAGCGAAGAGCTCCAAGGTCAGTGAGAGATCACTCTTTATCATGTGGCAAAGGCTAAGGAAAGACTCGCTGAACCTTTAGTGCAACTTTGACACTGGGGAGGGCCTGTGAATGGGACAAGACGGGAAAACTCTGTTCACTGACCGTGGCTTATGATCTTTCCTTATCAGCTTACTGCCCTGACTTAATCTTTTCAAAACCTAAAGTTCCATGGGCAGAAACAATATTTGTCTTTTTCTTTCAGGACTAAAGAACTGTAACCAAGGGATGATTCTCAAGGATATACAATCCCTCTCTCCCTCTCTCCCTCTCTCCCTCCGTCTCTCTCTCTCTCTCTCTCTCTCTCTCTCTCTCTC